CAAGAATTCGTCTCTATTAAAATCAAAGGCTAATAAAACACCTAAACAAGTTCAATGGCCACGATTCGATGTGTGATGCCAGGCTTCTCACCCCGTGCCCTACCCCATGCCCCCTACACGGCGTCCACAACTAACAACCCAGGATTGAATCCCCAAATAAACGGAAAAAAAGCTTCCTTAAAAAATATTTCCTTCTTCGCGGCGGTCGTCGAGCGGCATCGCGGAGCGGCCGCCCCACCCCAGATCGAGCTTGCGCTCGCCGAGCGACCGAGCTACCATCGTGCAACGACGAACCGCGTTACTGCCCTCCTCCAGGCCCCACCGTGATCCCTCCCAGCCACCGGCGCTGCCCTTCTCCAGGCCCCGTAGCGATCCCGATCACCCTCGCGGTCTCCAAGCGGTCGGAACACCATCGCGCGACGCGGTCGCCGAGCGGCCGTGCCACCACGTGACCATCTCCAATTTCCCGCGGCGCGTGGTGGACGCGACGGGGACTGGAGCGTGCAGGAGTGGCCGAGCCCATCAAGGTACACGCGGCGGCGGTGGCCGACGTGAAGTGGGACACGGTTCGCCTGGGCTACGTCAGTCCTGCCCGCGCCGTGGGCCCCTCGTCCTAGAAGGACAGCGAGGAGGCGCGGTGCCGCAAGAGCAAACACTGGCCGAGGAGGAAACAAGATGGCCATGAAGAGTCGTCGCTACACGCACGCCGAGCGCGAGGCCCTCCTCGCCGAAGTTGCCGCTCTGCGACTCCACCTCCGCGCGATCGAGGGATCGCGCAACCCGTCAGCTAAGTGCTACGTAAGTCACCTGCTCCCTGAGTCATAATGTTTTGTGGGCGCGCGCGGGTGTTCGATGATTCGCCTGACAGAGCCGGCTTATGTCACCATCCGAGGAGACCTACAGGAGGCCGTGTCACCATCCAAGGAGACCTACCGGAGGCTGCTCGCTGAGAAGCTGCTCAACAACCGAACATGTATCCTCGCCTTCAGGAACGAGCCATATGAGCCTGAGAACGTCTCGGCAACCGTTGCAGCTTCCTCCCACCACACCAAGCCGGCCAAGCAGCGATGACATATTCCCCAGGTATATGCATCTACTGAATTTTTCGTGTTCATCACTTGGATGGTGATTTCTGATGCTGCTCGAAATGTATGCAATCTGTAGAGAGGACTCTAGACACACCGGAGCTTGTTGATGACGACAAATACCTCAACCTGCTCGACTGAGGGAGCAACAACTTGTTGTCCATTGCTCTGGGTGACACGGTAAACCTGTGGGATGCATCCAGTGGGTCCACGTCTGAGCTTCTGATCATCGACGATAACAGCGGTCCCATCACAAGCGTCAACTGGGCTCCAGATGGCCAGCATATCGCTGTTGGGCTCAACTCGTCTGATGTCTAGCTCTGGGGTACCAGCTCCAACTAACCGGTATGTGCAGTGTCCTTGGTCATCCAAAAATGCGTGCACGTTCTCTGTTGTTGAATTCAGGTCGTTCTTTCCCTGCAGTTGAGAACTCTCAAAGGTGTGCATGAGGCAAGAGTTGGCTCACTGACATGAAACAACAACATCCTCACCACTGGCGGCATCGGTGGCAAGATCGTGAACAACGACGTGAGAATTAGGAACCATGTTGTGCAGACATACGAGGGGCACAGTCATGAGGTGTGTGGGCTTAAGTGGTCTGGATCAGGGGCACAATCATGGATGGCACCAATTTTTAGTCTCACAGTTATGTTCCCCAATCTCAAATCCCCCATTTTTTTGTCTCTACAGCATGTGCATTGTATATCAATTAAGTCCAGTTTTGATTATATTGTCAATGTTCACAGACGGATGCCATATTGCAGTTGTCAAAAACATATCAAGGAGAAAAAGATAGAAGTAAATGTTTTAGTTTTGATGTGGTATTTTTTCCTTTTTTTGCTGTAGGCTACTCTCTTGCTTGATGCTTTTAGCAAGAACAGAGATTCATTCTCAAGACATGATTAATGAAAAGCTTCAGAAAGCTGAAGAGATTGGTATAGAAAGCTTCCCCTGTCCGTTAGAGGCTTACACTGTATATATTCAGATTTTTATATGATAATATATTTTTCTAAAAACTTGGTCCGGGATGCTGTGAGTTTATACTTGACTATGTACATTCAATTTTTTATATATAATAATATTGTATTTCTATCACTCATTTAGTTTTCATGTGTATTCCTAAAATGCCACCGTTGCGTGAGCACGGGCACTATACTAATTAATATAAAAAGCACCCGATATGACCACCTGGTGTTTCTGTTATAAGCAGGCCAATAGTACAGTACAGAGTTGTTTTCCAGCTATTTTTTTTCTCTTTCTTCTTGTTATTTTTTCTAGTGGAATATTCGTTCAAGTAGGTACACCGAACCATTACATACCATAGACATTAGTTTCAAACATACTGTAATTTATACTAGGATGGTCATTTCCAAACCCCGTTGCACATTCGTTTTTCAGTTCTAAAAGCAAAGATTTCTCAAGGTTTATTGCTAAAGTGCTGATGCATAGGTTGGTGCGCGTGCATGGTGATATATGTTACATGTATATTGATCTTTTAAAGAATCAACAATGTTTTCATATGTCTGTATTTACTGATAGTTTTGAAACTTATATTGACGGATAAAATGGAATAAAAAAAACCCACAACGACATACAAGTAACCTCTTGAACGACCCATGCTGGTTGGGGCGGGTGTTAAGGTGGATTTGACTAATCAAAAGGCATTCTTAAGGACTAGCCACTCTTTATTTGTTCTCTATATACAAAAACGATTTATATTTTTTCCAGACATATGGATGACGATCTAGTTTACGGATTAATAGTCACTATAATGTGTTGTGCTACTCGTTTTTGTTTAAGCAGAGGCCATAAGCGTTTTCAAGATTTTGTATCATCTCGAGTAAAGTGCTTGAAATTTAATAAATGTTTTTTATAAAAAAATATAAATACAGTTTCTCTGTTTGTGCTGTATTTTGATGAATGCAACCGGCTACAAATCTTACATCAGGACGGGTGGGCTTCGAGGCTCTCCTACTAGCTTTCGGACATGGAGGCCCCTAATAAGATGCTAGCAAGGTCGTCTGCCCCCTTGCATTGAGTATAACTTCCATTCAAGGTACGAAATGCTAGTACGGTGGTGATAGACATGCATCTGTTACCAAACCACATGTCAGTTGCACACACCGACTAATATTCAACAAAAGAAAAAAAAACTCAAGTAGCTGATGATGGAAAAAGTGGACAAAAAATCACTTTATACTTAACGTTTTCTCCCCTCGCGTATTAGCTAGCTCCCACACAGGCATCAGACATGAAAATAAATCTGTACAATTATTTTATTTAAGTGTGCACTATATTGAATAGTTTGACTGACCAGTTTAATCCAAAAGCTTGAACTGATCAGAACATGATAAAATGTGGCGTTTTCACTTTATACTTCAACAATTATTCCTACTATAATCCTTTCAACCAGGTCCACGTTACAGGGGTTGTGTTCCGCATTCCCCAGTGTTCAAACTGGTGAACCAACACCATTGTTGCTCATCGATTTGCTACACTACACAGGGCATGCTTACCCTGATGTTTATGAAAAACACATGCTCAGATTTTCCTGATAGTAAGAAGGTTGGAATGCCTGAGAGTAAACAGCACACCATGTTTACTAATTTAGTTTCTCATTTTCCCCCTTCTGTTGACAAATTTATATCCTTTAATCTTTCTCCTAGGCTGATTGTTTTCCAGCTGCCTTTTGACATAATGTTTCAATCACAATATGTCTGATTATTTACTTGCATGATGGATGTTTCAAGCTAGATTGGTCACCGTATCAATGATACTAGCTAATTAGTTTCTTTGGTTACCTGTCCATTATTTACTTGCCTGATGGATGTTGCCTTCGGGGGATAGAATAGGACAATGTTGGTAAAATGGTTTTATTGGGTCAGTTTGCTCAGCCCTTACAACAGTGATGATTATGATAGACCCTTAATGTTCTTTCAAATTGTCATGGTTACGAGTGCTGATTTTTACGCCCAAGAGAAAAAATGTACCTCAACCTTTTTCCTTTCGCATTTACCTTCTAAGCATTTACCTATACTTCTTTAATTACTTAGACCTTAGTTTTGTGAGCCAGCTTTGTTCATGGTGTTTAGGATGCTTTCTTTTATTATCCTTATCCTTATCTCCTACAATTAAAAAGAACAAAGCGTGGATACTTTTTGGTGCGACATTTGTTTTAGGGTTGTTTGTTTTGTTCTCAAGTAGATCGTCCTGCACTTTTCTTTATGTCAGCTTGAAAGAAATACAATATTTCTGAATTGGGGATCTAAGGAATGAAAATTAATCAGCATGGCCTTTTCTTTTTGTTACTTCACATAGATCTATACAATAGTGATGGAGGCAGCACGTTCATATTAGGCTAGCTATGTTTACCATGCTTATAGATCTTAGGTAGTGTTTTTCCCACGTTTTCTCTTGAGCGTGAACTCCTGTTCACCAACCTGCTAACCTGTGATTGTTTAGCTTGATCTACGTGTAGGATGTATATTTCAGGTACATCATGTTACTACTAAATTGACCTGACCATGCATGCTTGGTTGTTTCATGAACATGCTTTTACCATCTCAACTATTATATGGAAGAATGAAATGATCAAAGAAAGGACTTGCCCTGGCTTTTGAATTTGTTTTCCTACATGTAATGATTCATGTTAAGTCATGTGATGGAATCAAGGCTTCAGACTTAGTCATGTGGTCATGTCTATCCGGTTGGAATATCGATTATAAATTTGTTAGATGCAAATCAAGCTTTCTGGAATAATTCAGTACAAATAGGTACTGTCGGTATGCCAACAAACAGTTTCCCTCTTGTGTAAATTGTATTATGTTTTAGCATATTCCATTTTAATCTTTTCAGATTCAGATTCGAACGATTAAAGCTTAGATGGGAGGAGGAGGTGCACGGCGAGCCGATGCCATGGAGGCGTGCCGCTACATCATCAACGAGCTCAAGGCGTCCGTGCCCATTTGGAAGAAGGAGGTGTACGACGACGGCGAGGTCTGGAAGGAGAACCGTGAGTTTTACAACTTCTACAGAATTACTAGAATCTTCGGTTGCATATCAGTATCATAATCAGGATAGCTTCTCCTTATAAAACATGATAATACATAAGCACGTGATATCCAGATAATATGGCTAACTGTTGGTTGCTAAATGTGATAGCTTTTACCTGTGACACTTTTTGTCAGTCAAGTGAAAATTAGGTGCAGTTATGGTTTTTGAACATCACTGAATGTTTAGCTGCAATTTGAAGAATTTTTAATCCTCTATTTGTTTGTCTTTGCAGGCCCGTAGTTTCACTTGCGTATCATTTGTAAGTTGATCCTATAAACTTTTAGATAAACATATAGACGCTAACTATGTTCTATTTGATGGTAATTGTTTCTGTTTTACCTCATTGGACGTTTTCCACAGGTATGCCTCTGTTAGAGCAATTAAAAAAATCTGCTGTGGATGATCAGCAATGGCTCACGTACTGGGTGTTGTACTCATTTATCACTCTATTCGAGCTCATCTTTGCTCCAGTACTCAAATGGTAAAAACAACAAACTTTCTACACAAGTGCTCATTTCATCATAGCTTTAGTTTTATGTGCACATTCCATCTTACCTTGATTTCTTTGCTATTGACCATCTCTGGTTTAGTACTGCACTTCATCGTTCACTGCTATAGTGCTCTCTCATGATTTGGCTGATAAGTTTTTTGGATACATCATGAGATGAATGGAAATGCTCATCACATGCATAACTTTTGCACTTTGCAGGCTCCCTTTCTGGTCTTATGCAAAACCATTTCTCAATTGCTGGTTAGTATTGCCATGGTTTAATGGAGGTGCACATGTATATGAGCATTTTGTGAGGCCAATGATTGTAAATCAGCAACTTTGTGTGCTTCTGGTATATTCCAATGAAGGATGAATCAAGTAGGCATGATGATGTAATTTCAGCTGCACAGAGATACAATGAGCAAAATGAATCAAAAGCATTTGAGAATCTTGTTAACAAGGTATTATCTGTTTCCTGTTAAATGTACCATTCTCATTTGTGAAAATAGTGGCCACTTGGCACCAGTTAGTTTGCTTGTGCTGTGAGAAGCACAACAAAGTGCCTCTACGGTCTACAGTGATGACGATGGCCTAATGATTAATGGTATTGCAGTGTGGTTTTTTTCTATACATACTACGGAATTTTACAGTAGAGTTGGTGAGCCTGCGACGCCATGCTCTCCGTGACTATGTTAATTTCTCGAACTTTGCTTTTTAGATTAAATATCACTTTAACGTCAGTATTTAATTTCACAGTATTGTTATCTTATCGTTCGATCCGTGTGTTTTTAGTACAAAAGTTTAGTTATCCCATAGCAACACACGGGTAGGCTAGCTTCCTAGTATTCAACAAAAGAAAAAAAAACTCAAGTAGCTGATGATGGAAAAAGTGGACAAAAAATCACTTTATACTTAACGTTTTCTCCCCTCGCGTATTAGTTCCCACACAGGCATCAGATATGAAAATAAATCTGTACAATTATTTTATTTAAGTGTGCACTATATTGAATAGTTTAACTGACCAGTTTAATCCAAAAGCTTGAACTGATCAGAAGATGATAAAATGTGGCGTTTTCACTTTATACTTCAACAATTATTCCTACTATAATCCTTTCAACCACAGGTCCACGTTACAGGGGTTGTGCTCCCCATTCCCCAGTGTTCAAACTGGTGAACCAACACCATTGTTGCTCATCAGCATTAGGTTATTACTGTGTAAGAGGAACTAACGTGGATGAATGATAAAAGCAAAAGTTGTTGGTTGTTACAGGTAAGACAGACAACAATGCTCATACTCATCCTTTCCTTTTCATGCATATCTTCTTTTCAGTGCAGCTCAGCCACACACAACCTTTTGTATGCACGCACACAGTTCTATCAAAATATATCATATTAATTTGGAAACAGTACAAATGCCAGCGAGTTTGCACGCATGGGGTATCTACATGCAAATTAAACATACACTGGTAGAGAACCGAGCTTTACTCCCGGTGGGAAACCCCTCTAGTCCCGGTTCCCCACCCGAGAGCAAGCATCCGGGACTAAAGGGGGGTCCTTTAGTCCCGGATCAGGAACCGGGACTAAAGGAGGACCTTTAGTCCCGGTGGGTAACACCAACCGGGACTAAAGGTGCCTCCTGACATGCCACGATGGCCGGCAACTTTAGTCCCGGTTGGTAATACGAACCGGGACTAAAGGTTTTTTTCTTTTTTCTTTTCTTTTCATTTTTTTGTTTTCTTTTCAAAATAGGTTTTCGAAGTCGTATTGTACGCTGCTAATTATACATTTATACGCGCATATAGTATGTTTCGGTTCAAGCACAATGAACGTATTAAATCACACAATTCAAGCATAGAAATATATATATATATATATATAATCATATATATATTAAATGCATGCATGCATATGTGTATTTTACATTATATTATTTCATGTGCATATATTACAAAAGATTGCATTACAGTTGTTGTGACATAACAAGTTTCCTCTCATCCTCTAGCTTGGCTTCAATGGCAGTGTTGGGTCGAAGTAGAACTCGCCCTTGGAATCGATGACCTGCTCATTAAAAAATCCGGCTATAGACTCTTGAATTGCTTTGATTTGGTCTTGCCGTATGACTTTTTCCTTCAACCATCGAGTCTACAGGTTTGAATTAAAGGAAAATAAATTAATATATGTACATATATATATATATATATAAAGACATAGTAACACAATCAATAATAATAATTAAATGAATATATAGTGTATTTTTAACGTACTCTGAGTCTCTCTATAGGAGTTCTTTGGGAGAGCACCTTGATAAACTTGCAAACATAGTAACCACATGTGTTGTTCCCTGTTCTGCCTTAGACACCACTTTACGAGAAAAAGATTTGTCATCCAATCTGGTGATCCGGTGAAAGCTATATGTTTAATTAATAAAGATGATGCGATTCGGGGACTTACTTTCAAAGGGATTACATTCGATTGGCGCTTTGCATTTTTCCATGTGTTGCTTCTCAATAAAGGTTTTCCAAACACTTTGCCCAATAAAAAATTTGCCACGTCATCGATATAGTTAATCATCATGTTTGTGTGTATATATAGTTGCTAGAGATCCCGAAATTATCTCCGGATAATATCTATCATATCTTGGTAATCTTATTGTGGTTTTCTCATCGAGTCATAGATTATCAAGTGACTTTTCACCGAGATCGATGTCCATCAATATCCGATGATTCTTTGCATGTGTTTATAGGATATAACGCATAACACTCATTAATTAACTAGAATCAACATATGAGCCATTAAGGATATGATCGACATGATTAACACTCACTTGAAGTTATAGGGAAAGAGTATATCCTTCTTGTGGCGTTGGTTCACTAAGAAGTTCATGAGGTTACTCTCGACTCGGACTTCCAATTAGTCTTTGGAGTAATTGGGTCTTTGAATACTATATGGGGATCAACAAAACCAATTTCATTGCAACATTCCTTTACGAGTTACATCATTGTAAATCAATATATATATAGTACTTGTTAGGATAATTTATATGCATATACACACATATGATGAGTTTAATAATAGATCGAAAGAATTATTACTTACGGGCAATAGCGACTAATGATAACTTTGTCCGGAGAGGCGGTGGCATAGTTGATGAAATTCTACAAAGTCAACATACATAACATCATCGCCATACGGAACCAATGTTCGCCTCTAATTACGACACCAACGCAGAAGTCTCCATTTGGTAGACGCCTGCATGTACCACTGTTTAGCGGTACATTTGCGTCCCCGGATCGAGATAAGGCTTGAGGGTTGTATAGACTCGGCCTAGTACAAATTTTTTCTTCCAAATATCAACCTCACAGCACTCTCAATGTTTCCATCACCAAACATCTGGTAAAGGTCGAGACCAGGTCTCATCAAGAAATTCACCAAGATGATCCAAATCGACATCCGGAGGTATGTTTGCTCGATGCATTAATCCTAAATTCGAACCATATTCATTACCAACAACTAGCGGGGGATTGATTGGTGCGCTTATTGTCCGAGTTGGGCAATGCCTTTCCCTGCCCGCTTTTTTTTTCTGTGTGTCACCAATTGACTTGGTGAGAGTGCGGTCATAGTCTGATATCGTTGATTTGGACGACTTACGAGATTCCCATTGTTGTTCTTTGGTAAGAAGTCACCTTTTTCTTAGAATATCTAGAGCTACGAAGAAGTACGGTTTCTTGGGGTTCTCCTTGCTTCTTGATTCATTTTAAGTTTGTCATAGAATCTAGACATGTCTTTTTTATATGCATCAGTTCCTTCTTCCTTCTCTTTAGATATTAATTTGGGAATAGCCCTTGGTTTCACGGTGGCTTTCTTTGCAGGCGGGGACTGGTTCTTCGTTTGAGGGGCTGGCCTCTTGCTAGGCTTCTTGGTAGGCGGGGCGGGGGGAGGCGTTGGAGACCTCCTTGGAGGTGTTAGCGGCGGCGTTGGAGACCTCCTTGGAGGTGGCGGGCTGCGGCGTTGGAGACCTCCTTGGAGATGGTGTAGATGCAGCCTCGTCTTCCAACATAATGTCATCGTCTGAGCACTATGATGATCTGGCGATTGAACAATTGGATTTAGGTTGGGGGAGGATCTGCTACAAAAAAAGGAATGACATATTATTATGAGCAGATTGTTAATTATTTAAGCCAATACAAATTAATGATGTAGTGTTTTCATCCGCATGTACCTATGGTGAGGTAGTTCAGGAGGAGGTGGAGCCGACATCCCTGGAATGATGATGTAGCGCTTGCGCCATAGAATGAATGTCTTCTCCGCTTCTCCTAGAGTCTTCTCGCCATCACCTCCGAGAATGTCAAGAGGCAAATCACTAAAAAACCCTTTTCACTTTATCTCCGAGATGGTAGCATATCCTTCTTGGATTATATTCCCATGAATCCTTGGTGTCTTGGTTCGGTCGATAGGATTAACAAGACCGATAGCCACCTTGATTGTAGAATTCTCCTTCGGAATGTGTAGCTCACACGTTGTACAAGGTTCAGTGATGTCATCCATAGGGAAGCGCAGTCCTGTGTCCCCTTGATTTGGTATCTCCGTGGAAGCAAATTGCTTTTCAACCGAACAGATTGGCTAATGTTGATTTACGCTCGATGCTCGCTTACTTGCACTCACTTGCAATTTACACTTGCCTTCGATTTCCTCCTGCATTCTCGCTTCAAGGTTTTTTCCTCCTCTCACAGCTTCACGCACCGCTTCCTCCAATCTCTGGAGCAGCATGCCTCTTCTTCCTTCTTTCTCTGGCGACTTAGAAGAAGGTCTGCATCTGAGGGAATCCATGCTCCCACGAGACACTTCCTTTGCCTCTAGTTCGCCACCATGTTCAATAGTCCCGATGGCGTATGTCACTCATCCTTCTCTCATTGGGCTGAACACACCACTAGCGATAGCTCTCTGAGCATAAAACAATCTTTCTGCTGCTTCTTCTTGCGGTCTTGCGCCATAAACGCACTTCCACATCTCTCTGGTCTAGTGTTCCCCATGACCGAAAAACCAATTCTTTGCACGTTCTCCCCACTCGAGTGATTACAGTGCGATACCCTTGGCAAAGAAGGTCTGCTTCCATTTTGTTCCACTTCTTAATGGCGATCGGGTAGCCACCGATCCCAAGGTATGGTGGTATGTCTTCTATTGGGCATTACGTTGGTTCTTTATCACCCGACTCACACCCTCTTCCGAAGTCTTGTACTGTACAAACTCATCCCAATAGGGCCTCTGCTTTGAGATCGGGCCTGGGATAGTAAAATCTGGTGCTATGTTCTTCTTGACATACGTCGTGTATAGGTGTTTCTTCCAAGTCTAAAACTGGGTGGCCATCTTCTTCAT